GGTAAAAGTAAACTAAAAAACAAAAAAAACCACAAAAATATTACAAATTATATAAAGAAAAAGATATGCAATTATTTTGTACTATTTATATCCCCAGAATAATAGAATTATAAATGTTATTTGTTGATTTTCAACTTTTAAAGAAAAAGTTTGAGAGGTTTATCTGTAATGACAAAAATAAATATAAACATTTTAAAGTATAGTCAGTTGAAGGAAATGTTTGTGGACATATATATCCCATTTTACTAAGTGAAGAATCAAGAGAAACTGCTTATATTTGTTTTACTGAGAAGTACAACTATAAGTATATTGTTTAAATGTTCAGCATAGTCAATGGAAAAACTAAAATAATGATATAAACATATTAAAAAGGAAATGATAGAAAAAAGGGTTTTAAGTTCAGGTGAATTCTTATTTATTATAAGTCAATAGATATTGTCTAAAACTACAAATCAAGAAATAACAACATAAGCATATTATTCAGCTAATTGGATGTTATTACTAGAAAATCTTGGGTTCCTGTTTCTCATAGTTCTGAATTTTAAAATAAAATATAAAACCTGGTATACCTTCTTCAACATTCTGGTTAAATTTATAGCTTCTACATTCCCTACATTCCCAATACCCTCCATCTCATAACTACCCAAAAAGTATGATGTTTAGATCAGCAGCATTGGCATCACTTAGAAGCTTGTTGGAAATTCAGAATATTAGGCCCATCCAAGAACTACTGAACAGAAACTATATTTTTATTCATATTGCCAGGTGATTCATATGCATATTACATTTTGAAAACACTGTCATACTTCAAACACATACTTCCCCTTATCTCCAGCTGAATCATTAATAAGTCAATCATTTGCTTTCTTATTTAAGAAAGCTCTCAGCACTCAGCATTCATTTATTTGAATGCTGGGTCAGGGTTACAGGTGGCTGCTCACCTGAGTCTGCCCTATCAGATTGCATGGTGCACCCTGGGAGTTCCAGAAGCAGCGTCAGAGGTGTGTGTGGCACCTGGAGAGATGGAGCAGTTTCCTGAAAAGTGGTGGTCCAGTCCAGTGATTAAAGGATCTGCCTTCACGGTAAAGCACTCTTTGTTCATAACTTCTATACATTGCCTTGAGCATTGTGACTGTCCAAGTGAAAGCCAAATGACGTCAAAACTTTATTTCCTTAACTACAAGTTGAGTACAATAAAACACCTACTTCACAGTTGGTTGTGTTAATGAAGAAATATAGCGCATTCCTGACACAGTGTATGTGCTCGATAAGCTATTATAAACATCACCTGACCTGTGTAGAGAGATCTGAATTATATGTTCACGTTTACCAATAGCAAAATAAGTAGTCATTAAAAACTCCCTTCCAGTCTCACTAGATTCTATGAGATTCTTTTACTGAACCCTTACATTCATCTAATGAGTTCCTTCTAGGTTCCAAAGACTGTGCTACACATATTAATGCAAATTGAAGAACTCTGTCCTTAATGAGTCTACAGTGTAGTGTATAGACATGTAAACATAAAAGGTTTTCTTTCTTTTTTCAATTTATTTTTAATTGAAAAATATAATTTTTATACATTTATTGTGTACAACAGGATATTTTGAAATCTTGGGTGAGCTTCATTTAATACCAATTCTGTACCAGAATTTCAAGAACAGGTCAAAGTCCTCGAAGAGCTACCCTCTCTGGGGGTGTCTGATCATCTCCCTTCAAGGGAGATTTCTAACCATCCTGGAGAAGTCTATACTAGCTGGAGGAAGCTGAGCTCCAAGTGAAGAGGGTAATGTGGCCACCAGGTATTTAATAAAGAGAACTTAGCAGGAGAGGATGCAGGGGCACTTCAAGGATCACTGATGAGAGTCAGGGGTTTAGAAAGTAAGTTGTTCAGAGCACCTGAGGAGATGAGAGAGATACTGAAAGAAGTTTTTGTTTTCTCTTCTTTCAATGCTGCTATGGATTTTGAATAACTTTCAACATTGTTTCTTTCTTTGTGACTCCACTGAGCCTAGTTTTGGAATTCATTCAGGCTACAGGAATATCAAAGGTAAGTTGACGGCATTAATGATGAAGGTCTTCTAGTAAAGACAAGCATCATGCCTCGTTGACTAAATAGTCTGGCTTAGCCAGACACAGACACAGATATTAATATTTTTGCCATCTCCATGGAAAGGTTTGTGTATCTCCTATGCCTCAGTTTATTAAGCTTTGAATTGAGAATCTGATAAGGCCTATGTCACTGTGAGATTTCACTGGACAAACTCATATCTTACAAAGTTGACAAGGCTATCACACATAAACTGTCTTTATCCCGTAGCTGTCTAACAATAAATATCTCTTTTTCCATGGCAATCTTAAATCCACCTTGGCTTTTTCAGATATAGGATATTCTTTCTCCCCAAGTACATCACAAGTACCTCTAGTCTTAATAACTGTTCTGGTGGATATTCCATTATTTACCCATATCTTTAGCATATAACTTTTGTCTTTTAAAACATAAAATTGTTTATAGCACTCACAATAACATGAAGAATATTATTGTCTGTATTCTCCTCTGGCCACACACACCACCGTTTATATTATAGTCCTGGATTCCTTATGGAAAAATGGGTATAGTTTTTGGTAACTTATTGACCTATATTTTTTTCTTTATTCATTTAAATTTTATTTTTATAGAAGTATAATGGTAAAATGCACAGATCTTCAGTGTACAGTTTAGTGAGTTTTGAAAAGTGAACATATCCGTATTACCCAGACTCCAGTCAGAAATAGACGGCGTCATCCCCTGAGCAATTTCTGATGTGCTCCTTTACCAACAATCCCCTCCACAACAGAGGCGACCATGATTCTGGTTGCTTTCTGTAAGTTAGTTTAACCTGTTCTTGAGATTCACGTAAAGGCAATCATATAGTTGGTGGTTTGGTGTCTCACATCTCACATCTTTAATTCAACATATGGTTCAGTAATTTGCTCCCTGGTGCTGCTGAGCAGTAGTCACCTCTCGCTCTCACTCTTTGTATATGTATTGACTATCTATCTAATGACCTACCTCTACATATATATCATGTTGTTTACTACTAATGGAATATTTGGGTATTAGATATGAAGCTAATTTTATCCATTAATAGTGTGACTATGATATATTTTGTGTCCTCCTCATTTTTAACCTATGAAATTGTTAATACTGTGTTTTAATCTTTAGCAAAGGCCTAACACAACAGAATTATTTCATAATCGGCCTCTAATAACTGTATTTTTTTTTTTTTTTACAAATTCCCTCACGATCTTTAGTTTCCGTCCTTAACACCTGCTGCTTGTTTTTCTGTTTTCACTGTAGGTCCATGGCCAGAGCTCTGGCTTCTGTCTCTTCGTCTCAGGAAGATAAAATTAAACTGTGAACCTGTTCTTATGCCGAGATCACAGCTGGGACAGTCCTGCTTCCTCTCTTTCACCACTCCCCAGTGCCAAGTATCAATCGCTGGGGCAAAGCAGCCTCAGTGAGATGTAGCACAGGCCTGAAGAGCACAGGCCTGGGGACATGGAAGAGAGGGCTGTGATTCTCTATAGGAGGCACTGACGAAAGTTGCATCACCACAGAAGAGCCATGTGGGTTTTCAAGGCATAGGAGAAGGCAAACCAATTTGACTTATTGAGACGATGTTTGCAGGGACCACAAGGCCTAGTGGTACCACGCTTAAGGAATAGGGGCCTCTGCAAGAGGGAGAAAAAATTATTAAAATCAATCCAGTAATTGATCACTTGACATGGAGTTGGGAATCTAGAAGTTTTGGGGTGAGTCAAAAGTAACGAACATCCTGCCTAGAATGAGCCATGGGATTTCCACTCTTTACACGGCCACTGCTTCCCATTTGGCTTCTTCAGAGGAGCTCACAAGGATAAGAGGGAGGGAAGCGCAGTGCCCTGGCCAACCTTGTCCTCTGAGGACTCATGTAGCAGGTGTCCCTATGGTTGCTGGAGGACAGGCTCCTGGAGGGTAAGAAATGGAGTCCCATCTATTTCTTTTGTGTCTTCCTTAGGAGAAAGGCAATTTCAGGCCTGGGCACCCGGCAGGTGCTCCATGAAGACCGGCGTTTGATTCTCTTTTTCTTATTGTCTCCATGTCTTTGTCCCACTTTCATTTCTGGGTCTGTGTAAATGCAATGAGAATTATAAAGTAGCTCTTATTACTTGTGACTTCCTGTGTATCAGGACCAGTTCAATCTCCTCTACTACAGTATTATGTGAATAGGATTGGTTTCCCTAATTTACAGAGAAGGAGACAGGCACTGCATTGTTCAATAACTTGCTTAAAGCAGAACAACTTGTAAGTAGTGGAGTTAAGATCCATTTCCAGATTTATGTGATTTCTAAAACTATGAAATTAAACCTTTTCCTGTGAATATTATATATGTCAATTTATTATCAATGGTTTATTTTCTCCAACATATAGCTAATAACTACCTTGTTCTGTGTGTTCCTAAATCTCTTCTGTATGAGTCTTGAGGTTTTCCATGTGGTGATCTGGGTCTTCATTACAGTGGACGCTATTTCCTTTTCTTCAGTTTCATCCTTTCTCTTCTCTTTAGCTTCTGAAGCAAGATCGCATTTGTCTCTGATCGGTAAAGGGATTATTCCACAGATACAGCTGTAATGAATTGTTCATATACTTCCTGTTTCTTGTTTCCTTTCCCCATCTTTAAACAATGATGTCCCTTATATTCTGAGACTTACCTGTATTTCTTGAACTAAGTTTATAGTCTGGGATTCTGAGTGTCTTCAGGTGTGAAATGAGCATAAAAATAAATCCCATGGCTGCTGTCATTGTCGAGGCCTGCTGGTCACTCTGCCCTCACCAGGTATGGACAATGACAACACTCACTGATGCAAAGAAAGGGCAAACTGGTGACATGAGTCACTGGATGCTGCTGGCACAGCTATAAAGGCCTGGTAACTCATGTGGGCTACATGGCTTCAGGCTATAGGAGAAATGAGCATTTGCCATGCAGCCTGCCACCTTGGCAGTCACTATCTTCCTGCCCTGTTGTCTGGCCCTTCCAGTGCTCCCTGCTACAGATCTTGAAGGATGGGATATTGTCAAGGTAGGTGCACGGATCAGGCCCACTTTATTACATTAAGGCTTTGGGGCTCTTCTTTGTGTGTGTGTGTTTGTGAGTATGTGTGTGTGTTTGTGAGTATGTGTGTGTGTGTGTGTGTGTGTGTGCATATGAATGCATGAAATAACTAAATATATTAAAGTTACATATGAAAACAGTTTTTTTCAATCTATGAGTTTATTTTTTCTTTAATTAAAAAAAATTAAAGGATTTTCACAGCCCCTAAAAGTATTTTGGGCTCTAGGGACTGTGCCTTTTATGCCTAATGAATAATTCAGCCCCTTTGCTCATCTCCCAAACTCAGTCTTCCATATGACATATAGTGAACACTCCAGTATATGGATCTCTAAGCCTGTTAGCTGGTAAGAGATCAGGGGAAGTAATTCCAATGTACTAATATGCCCTTCATATTGATGGAGAAATCTCCCAATCTGTTTAAAACACATGACAATCCCTCAAGAAATATGGATTTTCTCTAAACCTCTTAAGCATAAAAAATACTTAAAAATTCTTATAAATTGTTTCAGTCATATATTTTGTAATTGCTCAGGGACCTAGTCCTACTTCATCCTGATACTTAGCTGGGAAAAATAAAGTAAATTATTTGCTTCTGAAAGCCCGGCTTAGCTGATAATAAAATAAAGGCAAATGTAGTCTTATGCAATATCCAAAAATTAACCAAGGGGTTTATATCAAGTTGCATATGACATGAGCTTTGTCCTTAAAGTATTTTGAGTACAGGTAGGATTCAAATATAGATGGAGAAAACCTGATTATTATGCAAGGTGCTATTTTTTTTTTTTTCAGAAGTTGAGATTTGGTCCACTGGACTGGCAAAAAAAAAATCAGTGGGGATAAGAGTAAAGAATGGATTCTTACAAGTATTTTAGTGGAATGGAAGGTGTAGATGCAAATGGATTGGGTAATGCAAAATCAGACAAACTATAAGTCCTCCTAAGTCACTGATTTTGTCCTGAATGAGGAACCCTCAGTCAGTCAGAAATACCAGAGGCCATCTTTTCTGTGTAATTCCTGGGGAATACCTTCAGGGCCTTTATACAGGGGATTCTCTCTCCTGAAACTTGGATGCTTTCATTTTAGAGAAATTTTTACAGCTTATCTACATCACTTTTATTCTGTTACCTGGACTTCATATCATCCACAAGTGACATGGAAATTGAGGGATGGTTTCCCTGAGTGGACTGAGAACAGGAGCTTTAACAAGGACAGGTAGACAAGGCAGCAGCATCTGAGGCCCTCAAAGAAGGCTGTGCTCTGTGTAACTGAGGCTGTGGGTCTGCCCCATTAACACTATGTACTCATCCTTCCTAAACTTTCACCCAGGATTGTTTCCATCAACTCTTCCTGACCAAGAAGGAGTCACCATGCCTTACCCAGGAGAAAGAAACACAGTTCCTGCAACAGTTCCATCGGAATGGGACAGGCCTACTAGATAAGCAGATGTATACTATGCTACAGCAGCCCCGCTGTGGGTTACCTGCTGGGGGTAACTCCCCCATCTCCTCAGGAGGGTCTAAATGGAATAAGTACACTCTGACCTACAGGTATTTATTATTAAGGCCTGGGGGAGGTGTGGGTTATTACATCAAAGGACTTTCCACAAGACCTTTCCTAGAGGCCAACTCTGCAGTAGTCTTCTGCTTTCCCTGAAGTCTCTCCAAAGCCCAAGATCTCCTTCAGAGAAGGCAATTCTACCATCTCATTCTAGCTTCTTCCAACCACATCTTCAGAAAGTAAAGCCTAACCACTACCTTTTGGCCAATTCTTCCCTTAGTTAAATCTTTTCTTTCTTCTTTTTATTGTGTAGGTGTATAGGTGTTTTTAGGATATAATTTTGAAAACTTACTCCCTGCCTAGGTCGATCTTCATATTGGAGACTTGAAATATATTGGAGACATCTAAAGCAAAACAATACTAAATTATGTAGAATGCTATACATTTAAATTTAGTTCACATTGATTGATTGATTGCTTCCCCCCCCCCCATTTACCATGTAGGGCTGTGGTTCACAGACTGCACCTGAGAATAATGTGGGGCATTTATTACGATTTTTAGAAATTTATATTTGCATGTTTAATTTCTTGAGTTCCTGATTCAGTTCATCTGATGATTAGTTCAATTTGATAGATGAGCAAAATGAGTTAAGCATATTAAGTGAATTTCCCCAAAACAGAGTTATTCAGTTTTAAAGCTAAGATAATTCCCATATCTCTGAATGATTTCATTTAGAGATTTCTTATCTCAGGATTATCAATTACCCAGATGCTATGAAGCCATTCACAGTGAGAAACATTATATATAATGCACTTTCCATCTGGAGCAACGTGACTCCCCTGACGTTCCAGCAGGTACAGAGTGAAGATGCAGACATCAAGATTTCTTTCTGGAAATGGGGTAAGAAATTGATGTGGGAGAGGGAATGTGATGCCCTGTACAGAGGACAAATGGCCCCAGTGCATAAACACAAACCCAGCCCACTTAGTTCAGCTTCTGAGAAAAAAAAAATTCAGACAAAATCCTAATGCAAAGCAAAGTCTATAACACAGAGAAGACATTTTTGGTACAGTGAAGCAATAAGTAGAAGAGGGGTGTTCACTGCAGTGTAAACAGGTAGGGTAATTGCCCATTTTTCCTTTTATTTTTTTATTTTTTTTTGAGACAGAGTCTCACTTTGTTGTCCAGGCTAGAGTGAGTGCCGTGGCGTCAGCCTAGCTCACAGCAACCTCAAACTCCTGGGCTCGAGTGATCCTTCTGCCTCAGCCTCCCGAGTAGCTGGGACTACAGGCATGCGCCACCATGCCCGGCTAATTTTTTTTATATATATCAGTTGGCCAATTAATTTCTTTCTGTTTATAGTAGAGACGGGGTCTCGCTCTTGCTCAGGCTGGTTTCGAACTCCTGACCTTGAGCAATCCGCCCGCCTCGGCCTCCCAAGAGCTAGGATTACAGGCGTGAGCCACAGCGCCCGGCCTCCATTTTTCCTTTTAAAAGGGTATTACAGAGCTCCCAAATCTGTTGAAATGCTATTCAAAGTTGATCCAACCTATTTATAAGAACTTGCAGAGCTTAAGTTTTCTTTTCCTTTTCTCCCATCATTTGGGAGAGGTTTCTGTGTCTAACACATAAACTTTACTCAGTATCTGCTATCTGTCCCTATTTGTTTCACTCCAGAAGATAAGGAGTATCTACATTTTTGGCTGCACCCTATTTCTTTGTATGTATAATGCCTTTGTCCTCTCACACAACTAACAGCACCCCTTTGGACAGTATCCTAAGTCCCCGAGGCTTATTTAAGACGATTTGGACCCTGTTTTCCCCCTTTTCCCCATTGTGATCAAAGCTTCTGTCATCCACAGCCCATGGAGATGGCTGGCCCTTTGATGGGCCAAATGGTGTCTTAGGCCATGCCTTTTCACCAAATTCTGGAAATCCAGGAGTTGTCCATTTTGACAAGGATGAACATTGGTCATCTTCAAACAGGGGTAAAGGCCTTGCCTGGTGGGAGTGCTAGAGCTCTCTGGGAACCTTGGGGTTGGTGTGGTCTCCCTTGGAGCCTCTAATACAGCAAAGGGGTAGAGGGAAGGATTCAGAGTGCTCAGGGTGAGTGGGAAGCTTTGGCTGAGAAATCAGGTTTTCTGGATGAGTCAGAGGAGGTGGGATCATTTGTGAACACAGATGCTCCCATAATAAATACATTGTCATATTGTGATTTTCTCTCTCCTTTTTTATCTTTTATGTTTACATTTATCAGTCCCTCAATTCTCTCCGTAAGTCTTGTTCATTTCCAGTTTATCTGTCCAAGCATCTTGTCAGTTTGTTTCCCACTTGGCCTCTTTCCCTGGTAGTACCTTTTCCTTGCCTTCTAACATTTGTTCTTTCCTTCTTTTCTGTTGCCTCCTTTTTCTTTTCGTCTTTCTTTTCCACAAGTGTTTTCCCTGTGTATAATTTTATACTTTTGGTTACACTCTTTCAGGGTATAATCTCTTCCTGGTTGCGATTCATGAGATAGGTCATTCTCTGGGCCTGCAGCACTCTGGGAATCAAAGCTCCATAATGTACCCCACATATTGGTATCAGAACCCTAGAACCTTCCACCTCAGTGATGATGATATCCAAAGAATCCAGCAAATTTATGGTCTGTTCCTGCTGGAGGGAGGGTGAGGGGATATGGGTAGAGAATGCCACTTGAAATTTACTGTTTTCTTCTGTCCCCACAAGGAAAGAGATGTCATTCTGAAACACGATAATGCTGGCACAGAGGAATCATTCAGCTTGTCCTTTCAGTAGCTTTACTGAGGATCAGAAAACTCAAAGCACTTGAGAACTGCTAGAACTAAGTCCTGAAGATCTGAACCTAGTCTGGCAGCTGAGTCCACACTCAGACATTTCTGGGTTTTAATAAAAATTGTTTTTAAGAGGGACATTTTGTTCTTACAATTTGATATGTCTCAGCATTTGGTATGTTCAATCACTGTGATCAGGACCAAAAGGAAGAGTATAGTAGAGTGTAGCAGAGTACAGTAGAGTATATAGAGAGCTCTAGTAGAGATAACTCTGGGACTCTAGTGTTAGCTGAAAGATAAGAAAGGATAAGATTAAGAATAGATCCCTGTATGTTCTTAGATGGATAGAGTTTAAGGGATGTTATCATTTATGCTGTATATAAGATGTCAGTGGTAGGATCAGTTATTGGGTTCAGTAGCTTATCTCTTTATTAGCTATGAGACTTTGGTCAAGTAATATAATTTATTTATAACTCAGTTGCCACATTTGCTAAAAATGTTGTAATAACTTTACTGTCATAAGGTTAATGATATATAATGAATGCACCACTTTAGTCAGTCATTGGCAACACAATTTTAGGGATGATTGATATTATTGTTGATATATTAATTATAAATTTAAACTATTCTGTCCATCATTTAGCTACCTGCATTTAGAGGAAGAGGTCCTGGATATAGAGTTTGGAACAGGTGGATCAGTAGCATGTAGTCAGATACACAATAGAAGTCATAAAAAATTGGAAAAGCGCGTTAGACTAAAGGATTATCAAACTCACCTGGCCAAACATAATAAGCACTTACATTTCTATTTAGAATTTAGACATTTGGGGGAATCTTCTGACACAATGGATCATTCTGATTCAAACAGCGTCTACTTAGTAATGAAAAATCTGAAATAAGAAAATTAAATTGTGGGTGATGAGCTAAAGTGGGGACATTCTGCCTAAGCATGTGAGACTAGTAGATTATATACACTATTCAAAACGGATCAGGAAAGATTGTATTCTGGATATTATAAAAAAGGAAGAAAAATAAAGTCATGTAAAAGGAAGATCTCCTAAAGGAAATATTTTAACATCAGTATTCTCATTATAAAAGGAAAGCTAATATAATCAGTTCGGTGCATATATTTTTTTGAAAATGCAAAGAATATTTGGAGGTGATTTCTAAAGGAATCAAATTTCTCTGCACAAAATGATACTTTTGAGTTTTCAAAAGGAACTATAGGAAAGCATATAAGAGACAAGCCAGTAAAATTGGTAAGAACCCTTTGAGTTATGGGATATCACATGAGCAGGAATATATTCTCTGCTCCTCCCGGTTTTGTTTCAACTTCAGAGATTATGTCCCCCAGGTCACACCCTTCCCAGGGCATTTACCTGATGTAGATTAGGTAAATGAGTGAAGCAGGAAGGGTAAATGCCCAGTGTGTCCCAGAGAGCCCCAGTGCATTGGCCAGGATGCTGTCAGGCCTGTGTTGCAGTTAAGCTTTCCCCTTTGCCAAGTCCTGCTTCATGCCTCTACCCTTCACAGGTTTCAAACCTACTGAACCCTTCACATCCCTAACTCTGCCTTAATATCTGCTTCTGGAGAATTCGATCTCTGACATTGATTATTTGAAATACCAATGAAACTATTAATCTACTATGAGAATGGTGAAAAAGAGAGAATACATATAAAACCAACATCAGTAATGGAAAAAGGAGATACTTTGACACTCGGCAGACATTGAAACACTATAAAGGTACTTAGTTCACATGTTTTAGCCAATAAACATCAAAATGTTTACCCATAGGACATATTCCTAGATACACATAACATATAAAAATTGGTTAAAAAAAACAAAAATAGAAAATCCCAATAGTTCTATAAATGTATAAAACTATATCCCTTAATTATATTTCTCCACAAATAGTCCCAAAACTGACTAAAGAAAGAAACTAAATTGTCTAATGATTAAACATCAAACCTATAATTAAAAACTACCCTTGGATGGCCATTTAATAAAGATACCATACCAAATATATGCAAAATATTCTTGGGGAGAGATGGAAAGAATATTTCCTAAGTTATACTGAGCTTTGCATAATATTATAACAACATAATTGATAAAGACATTATAAGTAAGTATAACTTGAGGCTACGGTTATGATAAATAGTGATGTAAAAATTTTAAACAAAATATCTACAAATCAAATCTGGCATTAACTTTTGATGTGCTGTTGGATTTGGTTTGTTAGTATTTTATTGAGAATTTTTGCATCTATATTCATCAAGCATATGGGTTTATAGTTTTCTTTTTTTGCTGTACTTTTTCCTGGCTTTGGTATCAGGATGATACTGGCTTTGTAGAATGAGTTAAGGAGGATTTTTGGAACAGTTTCAGTAGGATAGGTCCCAGTTCTTTGTATGTCTGGTAGAATTCATCTGTGAGTCCATCTGGTCCTGAGCTTTTATAGTTGGGAGATTGTTTTATTACTGATTCAATCTTTCTACTCATTAGTCTGTTCAGGGTTTCTATTTCTTCTTGATTCAAGGAAGGAAGTTGTAAGGTTGTGTGTTTCCAGAAATTTATCCATTTCCTCTAGGTTTTCTAGTTTGTGTGCATAGAAGTATTCATAGTTGTCTCAGATGATCCTTTTTATTTATGTGATAGCAGTTTTAATGCCTCTTTTTAAATTTCTGATTGAGTTTATTTGAATGCTCTCACTCCCATTTGTTGTTGTTTTTTGTTTGTTTGTTTGTTTTGTTACTCTAGCTAGTGATCAATTAATTTTAATTTTATTTACCTTCTAAAAGAATCAACTCTTCATTTTATTGATTCTTCGTATTTTTTAAATTTGTTTCAATTTTATTTAATTCTTGTCTATTCTTTGATATGTTTGTGTTCTGCTAACTTTGAGTTTGATTTGTTCTTGTTTTAGTAGTTCCATGAAGTGTAACATTGGGTAGTTATTTTGTGACCATTCTGTCTGTTTGATATAGACATTTAGTGCTATAAACTTCCCTCTTAGTACTCCTTTTGGTATATCCAAAAGATTTTGATAGCTGTGTCACTATTATCATTCATTTTAAAAACATCTTTTAAATTTCCATTTTAATATCATTGTTGACCTAAAGATTATTCAGTAGCAGGTACTTTAATTTCCATGTATTTGTATATTTTTGAGAGTTCCTTTTTGAATTGGAACTCTAGTTTTATTCCACTGTGATCTGAAAAGAGATTTGATATAATTTAAATTTTTTAAAAAAAATTTGTTGAGACTTGTTTTGTGGACTAATATATGGCCTATCTTGGAAAATGTTCATGTGCTGATAAGAAGAATGTATATTATGCAATTTGGGAGTAGAATGTCCTCTAAATGTCTGTTAGGTTAATTTGTTCTAGAGTCCTGTCTAAATAAAGTGCTTCTTCATTAATTTTTTTCTATTAGATCTATCTCTGTCAGTGGAATGTTGAAATCTCCCACAATTAATATATTGCTGTTTATTTCTTTCCTTTGTTCTAGTAATATTTATTTTGTGAATCAAGTAGCTCCATATATATTTAAGATTGTTATGTCTTCTCATTGAAATCAATCCCTTTATCATTATATAATGAATTTCTTTCTCTTTTTTTTACTGTTATTAATTTAAAGTCTGTTTTATTTGATATAACAATAGCTACCCCTGCCCACTTTTGGTATTAATTTGCTTGGAATATTGGTTTTTAAAGATAATTCACTATAATCAAGTGGGTTTCACCCCAGGAAAGCAAGAACAGTTCAACATTCACAGATCAATACATGTGATTTTCCTCCTCAACAGAATTAAAAACAAAATCCTTATAATCATCTCAATGCATAAAAAACATTTGACAAAAACCCAATATACCTTCATAATAAGAAGCCTCAACAAACTAGGTATAGAAGGAACATAACTCAAAATAAAAAAAAAAAAAAGTCATACATAACAACCCAGAGCCAACATCATACTGAATGGGGGAAAGTTGAAAACATGTCTCCTAAATAACAAGACAAGGATGTCCCCTTACACCACTTCTATTCAACATAGCACTGGAAGTCCTAGCCAGAGAAATAAGGCAAAGAGAAAGTAATAAATAGTATCCAAATTGGAAAGAGTAATCAAACTATCTCTGTTTGCCAATGATATGATCTTATACTAGAAAACCCAAAGACGCCTCCAAAAGACTCCCAGAATTGATAAGTGAATTCAGTAAATTCTCACTTTACAAAATCAACACACACAAATCAGTAGCATTTCTATACACTAATAAGAACCAGGCTGAGAATCAAATCAAGAAATCAATTACATTTATAATAGCTTCAAAAAACATACTCAGGAATATACTTAACTGAGAATGTGAAAAAACTCTACAAGGAGAACTACAAAATACTGATGAAAGAAATTGTAGATGATACCAAAAAATAAATAAATAAATAATGGAAAAAACATCCCATGCTCATGGGTAGGAAGAATGAATATTGATAAAATGTCTATACTACCCAAAGTAATTTATGAATTCAATGCAATTCTTATCAAAATATCAATGTCATTTTTCACAGAATTAGAGAAAACAATCTTAAACTTCACATGGAACCTGAATAATCAAAGCAATCTTAAGAAAAAAGAACAAATCTGGAGGCATCACATTACCAGACTTTAAATTGTACTTCAAGTCTGTAGTAACCCAAACAGCATGGTATTGGTATAAATGTAGACACATAGAACAATGAAACAGAATAGAGAACCCAGAAATAAAATCACCTTCAACCAACTGATCTTTGACAAAGCAGACAAAAATATACACCAGGGAAAGGACACCTTATTAAGTAAATGGTGCTGGCAAAGTTGGATAGCCTTATTTAGATGAATGAA